CTATATATGCATTCGCAAAAAACGACTCGTGTCCTTTTTTTTCATCACAGTCGACATACAGGCTTCCATGCATACAGACTTCCCCTGCACACCTATGAACATTTTCTGCATGTAATGTCGATTTGCACGGCCGCAAGGGTCGAGATCATTTGCGCTCTCTCTGTTATCATCCAAAGATTGGCCAAGTGACGCTTGTGTGATTTCATCATGTGGCATCACATTCAGTGACGTCATGTCGACGAGATAGAAATTCTTGATCAGCAACGTCATAATGGTGTCGTAATGACAACATTTTTTGCATTATTCTTGTTTACACTGATGCCGCCGTTGGTCACCGACGGCAACTGTCAATGTACATTTGATGAGGCATCAAAAACTTTAGCCTAATGAGTATACTGGGCTTTACGTGTTATAAACACGATATGATTACGCTGAAAGCACGCCGTAAGATGGAACTCCGGAAATTTCACCTGGTGTTTTGAGGTGGCACTCACCTCACCGTAAATACAAAAACATTTATAATGTCGCCAACAGCGACACTTCACTGCAACCTGAAGTGCGGCTTTCGGGTCAGCAGCCGGAAAGAGTAACCCCTGTAACACCGCGGCTGATGACATGACGCATTGTTTAGCGACTTGTTTCTATCGAATCACCCTTACACCGCTGCTTTCACGGCGAAAACACTGGTAAGAAAACAGCCAACCTACCTCTCAACCTCCGAAGCCCTTGCCGTAGCAGGTCCCGAAGAGCAATGGTCCGTCTTGAACCATTTTGCAGGCACTTTTCTTGGAAGCAGTGACGGCACAATGAGCGAATCTCCGGTCTGTCACTATTCTGGTCGTCCAGGCAAATGCTGCACTGGGTGGAGCGGCCACTCCATGACTGCCCTGACTCGTGCTGGCTGGTCCAAGTCTTTCGGCAGCGGTGCCACAGGAGCGGCGGTTGCGGCTGCGACTTGGCCGACTGGCTTGGCCGCAATGCCGTGAGCACCAGCCGTGGTTTGGGCTGCTGCGGTGCTCTGGCTGGCAGCATGCGCTCCTGTTGCCGAGGGCAACCGGGGTGCCTTTCTATGAGCTCCTGCATCAGCTTCTCACTTCGATGTGACTGTCCGGGTGCCTCATTCACCGCCTTTTCAGTCGGTCGGCCGGAAGCAGTGGGATACCCCGGAGATGTGATGGCCGGTGCGGCAGCTCCCAATGCAACTTCGCCGTTACCAGTGGGCATCGGAGCTGAAGTTGCGTAATAGGTCACGCCAGGGCCAGCAGGAGTTCCTATGGCAGCAATAATGACTGGCTTGGCTGTTGCACCGCTGGACAGAGCCCGGGGTACGATCGGAATGTCAAGCACGGGAGGCACGGCCTTGGGCCCAGGAGCAGGAGAAGAAGGCATCATAACCCCCGAAGGGTGTGAAAATAGAGGCGCTTGCGCTGGTAAGCTCGGCATCCTAGGTCTGACTGCCATAGAGATGTCCTGCTGTGGTGGGAACGCCGGCCTTGGGGCCGGCGGTCTTGAAAGCGGAAGGACCGATCTGAAAAGCAATTTCGAAATCCAGTTTGGCAGGAAGGCCATGACCTCAAGCTCACCCAGGGCTTGGCCTGGCTGACGCACATATTCTGCTGCCGATTGAAGAGAGCGGTGAGAGACGCCCCCATGCTGACGCCGGAGGAAACCGCGATGCAAGCTCCAGCCCTCACCAAGTCGAGGAAGGTGAGAGAATCGGCTGCTAAATGGCGGATTGCGGAAGCAGTCGCCTTCATGGTAAATGGCCAAGTGGTCTCGACGATGGCAGGAGTACAGTCTTCGATCACTAATTCGGTACGTAATGCTTGCCACTTGCTCCTGAAGGCGGGAAAGAGTTGACCGTTGCAGCGAGAGACATAAAGTACAGTCTGCGACAACACCTCGTGCACAATCGAAGGTGTACCTTCGCCTCTTCTTCTTTGCTTGCTATATTCACCCACACGCCTGTCGCGCTTGCGCAAAGTACCAGTGTTTGCTATTATTGCCTAAATAATAATGATAATAATAATAATATTAATAATAATAATAATAATAATAATAATAATAATAATAATTTATTGTACACTTTATAGAAAACACACAGAACAAGCCTAACTGAATCTCAATTACTTACACATGTGACTAGGCTCGGCAGAGCCGGTTCCAACGATGTGCTTACAAGGTCACAAAAACTCTCTTTGCTTCTTTTATTGCCAACGAACAGACTAATGAATAATACCATTGCTTTTACAGGCAGTAATTCAAACAGAATAAAGAATCGAGCGACGCAGAGCTTACGTGACATGCAAGTATACCATAACCAGGTGATCTTGCAGATCAGAGAGAATTTTGTTTCTTTGGGTTATTGAACAAGCTGAAAAAAAATGCTTCAGATAGTGCATAAAAATTTTTGGGAGTATATACACTTGTACATACTTCTCCATGTCTGGTAGAGGACAGCGGTACCGTAAACAATTTTTATTTTCTGAGGGGTCCACGCTTGACAAATGGCACTTTATTGTCGTAACACCATATATCTCAGAACAACGCTTTAGTAAGAAATGCTGTAACTTACATACTAATAGTAATAGTAATAAAAATTATTATTATTATTATTATTATTATTATTATTATTATTATTATTATTATTATTATTATTATTATTATTATTATTATATTATTATTATTATTATTATTATTATTATTATTATTATTATTATTATTATTATTATTATTATTATTATTATTATTATTATTATTATTAGGTGCTTAGGAATGACCATAGCATCTGTAAAACAGGTGAAGAGTTAAGCCCCGTGAAACTAACAAGGTTAGTTGTTCTTGAGCAGCCAGTGGGAAACCCATAAACACGTCAGATTCTGGAGGTTTGCGGACCCGTTACGCCACAAGTCGGGGCAGTTTTGGGCAGTGCAAACCTCGACTCTTCTTCGCGGTTGGCTGCGCAACCAATTGCAACTGGCACGGTCGAAACCACACTTGATCAAACTATTACGTGAAAATGGACAAGAATTCCCATCCCCTAGTCGGACGCGTCACCTAACTGCCATGAGATGCTTGCTGGTTCACTCAGATAGTGATTTTGGTTTTATAGTGTGAGCACAAAGTGTCATTCTTAAATACAAGATGACCCCTATGATTAAAGGAGGCGCTCCTTGCGAATTTCTGAAGAGACGGTCCTGCGCAGCGGTAAGTGTTGCAGCATACCCGTCGTTGTAAGATAGACTGGCCCTTCAGGAATGTTATTGCCCCATCCTGCATACATATAAAAATATTCAAACTTGACACAATGGCAAGGCATGGCGGACATGATTCAAGAAATAGAATGAAGCGGCCGAAGCCATGGCGGAAATATAAATTTCTTTTTTTTTCATGCACGGTTCTGTATTTGGAATGTTACAAAGAAATGAAAGCTTCGGGGAGATGTGGCTTGCCAAGATCAAATTTAAAATGCAGCCATGGTAAACAAAATTTCACCACGAAAATACAATATCCAATAAATTCATTTTGAATCACAGACTGTCAATCCTTAAGTAACACCACAAATCGCCAATGAAATCCCTCCCTCGGCTGCTTACTTTTTCGCATGCGCACAGAACAGATGGTGTGCACGCAGTGCAATGGTTGGAAGTACTTCTTATGTTATCCATATTAGTAACGTCAGTAGGCAATAGAGAGCTCACAATATGCCACTGAAAGAGAGTCTTACGATATAGACATAACAGTAAACAAAGAAATACTTGGTTTATTTAAGTTGAAAGAAAGGTTATTAAAAGTTCTGGATAGCATCGGCCGCAGTGAGAAATTTTTGATAAAAACGAAAACGTTTAAAACAAACAGCGGCAATGTGCTCAGAACACTGCTCCTGCAAATGTTAGTTCAAGCTGCAAAATTAGAGGAACAGGCAGGTGGCTTTTGTGCGGCTGCAAAAGCTTCAGCGCACGAGCAAACCACCGATTCTTGCCAATGGGCTGCATCATTGGATCCTCTCGTGCTGCGCAGCCACCAAAGTACCGGCCACAATGTGGCAGGCGGAAAGGTTGGCCACTGAAACAGCGTAAAACATGAGAACACCATTATCCTAGCAATTGACATGAGCGAAAACGTTACATGCACGACGCGTTGAAAGACCCAAACTTTGAAAAGTGCTTTCTTTAACTTCGGCCGCATGAGTCATTAAAAAACTGTTTTCTCAGCTCTTATGGCAAGAAAAATCACGTCGACTATCGTTCGTGTAACGCAGTACTGCCATGCGGGATGCATGTAAGGAGAGCGACGCAGTTCGTATGTTCCGCGTTACGTGCATGGTTTAATTAATCTCATGAGGTCTATATATGCATTCGCAAAAAACGACTCGTGTCCTTTTTTTTCATCACAGTCGACATACAGGCTTCCATACATACAGACTTCCCCTGCACACCTATGAAAATTTTCTGCATGTAATGTCGATTTGCACGGCCGCAAAGGTCGAGATCATTTGCGTGGCATCACATTCAGTGACGTCATGTCGACGAGATAGAAATTCTTGATCAGCAACGTCATAATGGTGTCGTAATGACAACATTTTTTGCGTTATTCTTGTTTACACTGATGCCGCCGTTGGTCACCGACGGCAACTGTCAATGTACATTTGATGAGGCGTCAAAAACTTTAGCCTAATGAGTATGCTGGGCTTTACGTGTTATAAACACGATATGATTACGCTGAAAGCACGCCGTAAGATGGAACTCCGGAAATTTTGTCTGGTGTTTTCAGGTGGCACTGACTTCGCCGTAAATACAAAAACATTTATAATGTCGCCTACAACGACACTTCACTGCAACCTGATGTGCGGCTTTCGGGTCAGCAGCCGGAAATAGTAACCCCTGTAACACCGCGGGTGATGACATGACGCATTGTTTAGTGACTTGTTTCTATCGAATCACCCTTACACCGCTGCTTTCACGGCGACAACACTTGTAAGAAAACAGCCAACCTACCTCTCAACCTCCGAAGCCCTTGCCATAGCAGGTCCCGAAGAGCAATGGTCCGTCTTGAACCATTTTTGCAGGCACTTTTCTTGGAAAAGCAGGGATGGCACAATGAGCGAATCTCCGGTCTGTCACCATTCTGGTCGTCCAGGCAAATGCTGCACTGGGTGGAGTGGCCACTCCATGACTGCCCTGACTCGTGCTGGCTGGTTCAAGTCTTCGGCGGCGGTGCCACAGGAGCGGCGGTTGCGGCTGCGACTTGGCCGACTGGCTTGTCCGCAATGCCGTGAGCACCAGCCGTGGTTTGGGCTGCTGCGGTGCTCTGGCTGGCAGCTTGTGCTCCTGTTGCCGAGGGCAACCGGGGTGTCTTTCCATGAGCTCCTGCATCAGCTTCTCACTTCGATGTGACTGTCCGGGTGCCTCATTCACCGCCTTTTCAGTCGGTCGGCCGGAAGCTGTGGGATACCCCGGAGATGTGATGGCCGGTGCGGCAGCTCCCAATGCAACTTCGCCGTTACCAGAGGGCATCGGAGCTGAAGTTGCGTAATAGGTCACGCCAGGGCCAGCAGGAGTTCCTATGGCAGCAATATTGACTGGCTTGGCTGTTGCACCGCTGGACAGAGCCCGGGGTACGATCGGAATGTCAAGCACGGGAGGCACGGCCTTGGGCCCAGGAGCAGGAGAAGAAGGCAGCATAGCCCCCGAAGGGTGTGAAAATAGAGGCGCTTGCACTGGGAAGTTCGGCATCCTAGGTCTGACTGCCATAGAGATGTCCTGCTGTGGTGGGAACGCCAGCTTTGGGGCCTGCGGTCTTGAAAGCGGAAGGACCAATCTGAAAAGCAATTTCGAAATCCAATTTGGCAGAAAGGCCCATGACCTCAAGCTCACCCAGGGCTTGGCCTGGCTGACGCACATCTTCTGCTGCCGATTGAAGAGAGCGGTGAGAAACGCCCCCTTGCTTACGCCGGAGGAAACCGCGATGCAAGCTCCAGCCCTCGCCAAGTCGAGGAAGGTGAGAGCATCGGCTGCTAAACGGCGGATTGCGGAAGCAGTCGTCTTCATGGTAGATGGCCAAGTGGTTTCGACGATGGCAGGAGTACAGTCTTCGATCACTAATTCGGTACGTAATGCTGCCCACTTGCTCCTGAAGGCGGGAAAGAGTTGACCATTGCAGCGAGAGACATAACGTACAGTCTGCGACAACGCCTCGTGCACAATCGAAGGTGTACCTTCGCCTCTTCTTCTTTGCTTGCTATATTCACCCACACGCCAGTCGCGCTTGCGCAAAATACCGGTGTTTGCTATTATTGCTTAATAATTTGTAATAATAATAATAATAATAATAATAATAGTTATTATTATTATTCTCTGTTGTATAATGCACATTTTTGCACATCTGTTGTATAATGCACATTTTTTTTTATTTTTGGGATGAATTCTCGAGATAATGTGAACTTTTTCTCAAGTGACTCTGGCAGGCCTTGCATTTTAATTTCAAGTCTTAACCTTGCCTTGGGTAAAATAGTCCATCCAGTGTGTTATGCGTTTTCAATCGGATTGCGTGTCGTACTGGCACTGTGAAAAAACACCCACATTTTTAAATATCGGGGTACACCAAAGTAAAAAAGTTCTGGAAACCTTATATCAGTCCGGGTTCGAATCCCGGCTCCGGCGGCTGCATTTCAGATGGAGGCAGAAATGTTGTAGGCCCGTGTGCTCAGATTTGAGTGGACGTTAAAGAACCCCAGGTGGTCGAAATTTCGGGAGCGCTCCACTGCGGCGTCTCTCATAATCATATGGTGGTTTTGGGACGTTAAACCCCACATATCGATCATCAATCTTTATATCAGTCACATTATGCATGTAATAACTCAATTTGTAATACCCTGTATTTATAGGCCAAGCAGCGAATTGCTTCGAGCACATCCTGATCTGATCTTAAAATGGTCCTAGTTCTACATACCTGCCACATTCTCAGGATCAGCTTTGGGTGATCAAACGAACCTGATTTGGAGCCTTTCAGAATCCTTGCAAGATCTTTTAGGGATTTTAAAATGCCCAGAAGATGACATCCCATAGACTTACTATGGATGCTTTTGTGTTTTATGGGACCCTAGAAACTGGACGGAGAGATGACTGCCCCATATCTCAGTGGCAGAACACTGAATGTGTTATTCCAAGGTCACAGGTTTGGATCCTGCCGGCAGCAAGTTATCTTTTCGTCCACTTTCATTCTTCACATTTACATTACAATTACCTCTAATAACATCCCTCATGTTTTCCTTGGCCCAATTGTCTTTTTTTTTCTCATTACTGTATTTAACAAAGAAAACAAGCCCTTAAATTTACTCTGTCCTTGTTTCGGTTAGAGATCACGTGTGAAATATGAATTTAATGTTGAATATGCTTATCGTGAGTTCCTATAGCAAACACACATTGATTAAAATTTATGATTGTCTACTAACGGCAGAGGTAACGTTCATTAATTTTTTCAGCAATGGTAACGCGTTACCATTGCCGAAAAACCATTATCATTACCACACAACGCAATGGTAGCGTTGTGTGGTAACGCGTTCTGTTTTTGTTGGGGTAACGTGTAACATATTTAGTTACTGTTTTCGGTAAGTGGTACAATACTGGTTTCGTGGCCATGCTTGCAGAGGACCTGGTGCTTGCCTGGTGGTCCTGAAGATGGCTCCAGCTGGGACACGCCAGACCAGGGCGCTGTCCGTAGAGCTTCTACTGTCTGACCTATCTGGGGCTATCGACACCGAGCACGGCTCCTGCTATGTTGGCGAGATGGAGACGACCGGTTCCTGATCGCCGCCGCCACCTGGGACAGCTGAAGGTCGTGTTCAAACGCGAGGCCTGACGAAGGCTTTGTCTCTTGCCGTGACCGTAGGCGAGACATGTGCCACCTGCGTGCCTAAGGGTCCTCACCGAATGTGAACTGCTGCCTCTTCGCGACACTGGGTGGACAAGCTCTGAGCTATCGTTGTTTCACGCAGATTGGGCAGTAAGCTGCTCGGACGTCATTAAGTTAAGTGTGTTTATCTCAGTGCTTGTTTTTGTCATCGTCTCTAGAGTCCCTTGTCATGATAAATGCTGTTTCAAATCTGTTCTTGTGCCATCTCTTATCGTTCGTTTCGCTAGCCATGCACAGGCAAACGTGATGAACCATTTCTGTCATTACACCTATTTTCCAGATCGATTTCTATACACACTTTTTAACTTGACTTTCGAGAACAGTATGAGACCGTTATTCACGTAACCAGGCAGCACTGACCTTTTAGAACACTATGGGGCTCAACCTAGCCCTCTAGTTCAATCATCTTCTGGAAAACACCTGCCAGCCACCACACGACACCGCAGTGGCATGCAGTGTTGTACATGCTCCTTTAAAACAGCAACGAAAACTCGTTTATCGTTCCTCCCCAATTACTGAACCAGTTTCTATTACCAGTTCCATATATGCAAAGGGAACTCCTTACAGTTATTACATTTCGAAAATTGGAATAAATCGTTTGATTAACGCTACATTTGAATTTTTAATAAATGTATAGTGTCAGATAGACGCCGGATGAATAAATCTTGAAGGCCCCCCGAGAAAGGCAACACACCCCTTTGGCCCCGGCTTCACGTACGGCCCTCCTAGGCTGGCCCACTCAGGGGAAACTGGCAGTCGCCTTTTTCCATCTCTTTGTGCCTACATCTTCGTCTTTCTCTCACACTTTTTATCTGTCATCTTCTCATTTCCGTGTACTTACAAATTTCCTGGTGGCGAGGTCTAACCTCATGTAGCTATCCAACCCAGGGTAATTATAGTAGGTTATAGCGCCGACGTACGGCTGGCTTTTCCAAGTGTTTGCTTTCAACCTTGTATCGTCCCCTTGTTGGGATCGATGGCGGATGGCCACCATGTCCACCGAACTTTGTAGTATTTTTATGGCAAAAGCTTTTTCCCCCTTCCTGATCGCTGCCTGAAAAAGTGGCGCACCGACTACACAATCCTGCTCAACACACCAAAGCCGATGTTCCCAAAGTACCATGTTATCCACAGTCAAAATGAAAAAAAGACAGACCGAGCGATTTCACCTTTCCTTGTGTCGAAAACTCTCAAAGAAGCAATAGGTCCAGGTTATAAAGCGACAAAGATGGGAAGTGGCGATCTTCTTCTGGAGGTTCGTGATAAAGCTCAGTACGAGAAGCTGTCCAAGCTTGTAGCGTTTGAGGAAATTCATGTTTCGATAGGCCCACACAGGTCAATGAACACTGTCCGCGGCGTGATCTCTGACGATGAACTTTCTGAAAGTGAACTGCTTGAAGGTTGGCAGGACTAGAACGTGGCCAAAGTCCAACGAATAACAATAAAGTGCAACAACAAACAGACCCCTACAAAACATATAATAATTACCTTCGGAACCAGTGACCTACCACAATCAATCGAAACCGGCTACTGTAAGCTCCATGTAAGACCATACATTCCCAATCCTCATCGATGTTACAAGTGTCAATGTTTCAAGCATGGATCGCAGAGTTGCCAAGGGCACGCCACTTGTTCAAATCGTGCATCCATTCAACGCATATCCAACAACTGCACCTCAGAAGCAACCGATTGTTCGAACTGTGAAGGAGATCACTCTTCTTACTCACGATCATGCCCTACATGGAAGAAATAAAAACAAATAGAACTTGAGGTGAAATTCAATCTGTCATTCCAGGAGGCACGTCATTGTTTCGCACTACACAACCTATCTTTTCCCTCCTTCCCAGATGTGACGCGCTGAGGCGCCGCGCCACCCGTTTCTGCACCCTCTAATGTCGTACAGGGTGTGGCCGCAGTCGGGCCACCAGCACCTCCGGCTGGAGCAGCCTGTACTGCCCCGCCATTTGACAAACAGGGTCGGCAGACCCCTGTGTTTGCTCGACCTCGGACCACTGCAAGCACAGTTAGGTCCAAATGTTTTGTGAATGTGCCTGCCAAGCAGGCCCCATCCACCACTTCACAAGAGCTAAGGATACAAGTACCACTCCTTCGGCGCCTCAGACGTTGAAGAATATGCGCAACTCTTTGGAGCGTGCCAAGAAAGAAAAATCCCTTATTACAGGGCCCCCAAAAGGCCCTATAAAACACTTTTGTACACACAGTACCACACAACATTAAAATGACGCAAATACTACAGTGGAACGTAAGAGGACTGCTGAGGAACCTCGATGATATCCAGGAACGTTTACACATACACCAAAAGTGCTGTGCATACAAGAAACACACCTTACACCTAAACACACCAACTTTTTACGTCGTTACATTATTTTTCGAAAGGATAGAGATGATGCTGTTGCGTCATCTGGGGGTGTTGTCATTATAGTCAATCAAGGGATTGCATGTACACACCTACCACTGCAAACATCTTTAGAGGCTGTGGATATTCAAACAGTTCTTTTGAATAAGCTCATAACCATCTGCTCTCTTTATATATCTTCACACCACCGTCTTGAAAAACATGAATTCCAGCCCTTCATCGATGAATTTCCTGAAGCCTATCTTGTCCTAGGAGACTTCAATGCACATAGTAGCCTCTGGGGTGACTCTCACTGCGATGCGCGAGGTCGCCTTATTGAACACTTCCTTTTTTCCTCCCACGCGTGCGTCTTGAATCGAAAAGAGTCAATCTATTACAGCATTGCTAACAAGTCGTACTCAACAACAGACCTCAGCATAGCATCTGCATCACTCTTGCCTCTAC